GGGGTGTACATGGATTCACCAAACCAATCTCACGAAGTCAGAAGCCGACCGGAAGGTCGCTGCCGAGTACGTCGACAAGCAGTACAAGAAGGTGCAGCGATCACTGGAAGGACTGGTTGAGATTTCCAAGGACCCCCGTGTCATGTCTGCGCAAGTCATCGGGAACGGTGACCATTCCGGATACTCATTGCCGCCATCTTACAACCGTGAGATGGGCAAGCACATCAATTGGCTGGCAGAGCGTGGCATTCAATGCGTGAACTCCACGATGCTCGCTCAGGGTGGGAAATACGACAACTACCACCTGCACGACCACCAATTTAACCGGAAATTGGTTTATCGTTTCTTGAGAGGAGCCATCACCTTCCACCTCAAATACGTTGAGCTTATGTCGAAGCAGGACGATCTCAGGTACTTTGTGAAGGAGTTCATCAGCAACGAACAAGACCGTGTGGCCGCGGTCCATCTCTTCCCCACGATGGTTCAGTTTCGTTTGGCTTTGCTCGGCACTCAAGAAGTCATGGAAGCCGTCTCCACCGAGAAGAAAACGGCAACCCCTGCCCAGGTCTTCGACGAGGCAGATGAGGAGATTCTCATGTGGGTCCATGCAGGAATTCTTGAGGCCAACGAGGAAGCCACCCGGGAGGGAAGGCCGATGCCCACTGCTTTCACTGATGAAGAGATCAGCTCAATCGTCCCAATTGACCCTTCGATCGAGGACTACGAAACCGAAGAAGTCAGGGCCCGACAGTATCTTCAAGAAGATTTGAATCAGGCCGTTGCTGATGGTTTCTCAACTACAACCATTGAATCGATCGAGATCAACCCGGAGAACACTGATGTCGATGACGATGTTGAAGTCGTCCCCGAGTTTGATGAGTGGGACGTGATCCTTGATGAGAAGATCATTGTCAATCCCCATGACGAGAAGGTCAAGGAAGATGAAATCTCGGAGGAAAGAGCCAAGGAGGTTGCAGATCTCAACAAGATCATCGAGATCACATCCACTGAGGCAAAGCCTTCGGGAACGTCGGCCGATGACCCTGCTGCTGCAAAAGATGCACCCGCAAAGACTGACCAAGGAGGGGAAGACATGACTTCATCGAGGATTTCAACATGGAGTGTGGTTGGTGGTGAAGCATCCAAGCCCAGCGACATGACTTCTTCCAGGATCTCAACATGGACCGAGGTTGGTGGATCTGAAGCCACTGCCATGGACGTTGACTCTGAGAAGAAGGGAGGTGCTGATGCTGCCCGGGAGGGTGTGCCGACTGATGCTGTAGTTCCTGAGGCTTCTGCTTCTTCCGAACAGCCTGCTGACAAGACTGCCATTGTCGACCTGACCAAGACCGAGAAGAAGGTGGAGGTTGACAAGCCAGTTGGAAAGCCGGCCGAAAAGAAAATGCCGAAGAGTGAAAAGCAAAAGGCACCAGAGTCAAAAGCGCAGCCCAGACAGAAAGCGCCGCGACTCAGTGTCGAAGCTGATGCAGCCCTTCGCAAATTGGAAGAAGCGACGGAACGCCAAGAGGGATCAGTATGGTTGGACCCCAATGACATGATCAACAGGATTCCCAAGGAGTATTGCGGCCAAGGGCGACTGAGATTTCTTTCCACAAAGTTATCTTATGTTCTCCGAGGACACGCATTGAGCTATGGTGCTCGCAGCCCAGACATCGATCCCATGGATCTTTCGATGGATTTCGAGGCGGTGATGAAGACGATGGCCCACTACGTCTCCTACCCGAAGATCAGTGAGGTCCTGTCCATCGTGCGCAACAGTGACACCAGGCGCTTTCAGGTGAAAGTGGCTCAGCCCGATTTGCCTGATGCAACCTGGAAGGGTTTGCCATGGAAGGTTGTCGCCATCAGAGCTGTCCAAGGACACAACCGTGCAGTGGTGGAAAATGCCAAAATTTCATCGCTGGTGAAGGAAGTGTTTACTTTGGATCCAACCTTTACCAAGGCAGACCTCGACACGCCCAAGTTGCCGAGGACAAACCTTCGCCCAGACCTCGTGCCGGAGATGTTGGCTGCACTCCCAAGGGTTATCTACCATAGCTGCGACAGGCTCGCTATGGACAAGATAGTTGAACATGGTCTCATCCCAGGTGGCTGGCCCCAAAGAACAGGAAGGGCGCATAATTTCTTTATTGCGTCGCATCCATGGGATGATTCAGTCGATGGCAGAAAGCTCGCGGGAACGCGAGCCGGGAAGCAATATTACATTGCCTTTGACACCGAGCTCATCGTCCAAAGCGGCTGCCGATTGTTTCGCACGGACGAAGCAATCATAAGCCCTGACTGGATCTCCAACGAGAACATCATTTGCACATATGATGCTGTCAACAGGGAGTTTGCCTGGGTGAATCGCCCCTATGAGATCACGCGTGTGGGGTACAACAGCAAAATGAAGACCCACAAGGACCAGGACACTCCGAAGAAAGAAGCCTTGTCCAAGAGCCCGTATGCCAACGCCAGGGACAGTTTGAAGGCCTACCTCATGAGCGGCAAGTCCATTCGACCCGGCCAGATGCAGATGACCGACTCTCCAGAAGAGCTTCCCCCACTTCTTCGTCGACGTGAAGGAACTTCAGGACCCTTTGAGGACAAAGTGACGTTGAAGATGGCCTCCTTTGGTGCCTTGTCCAATGCCGAAACCATTCGCAAAGGCAAGGGCCGGGGAAAAGGCAAGGGAAAAGGAAGCCGCCCGGGAGGGCAGGCCCAGCGCTCAACAAATGCTGAGGATTACATCTACAGCTCAAAGATTGAGATGCAACAGGTCCGATGCCACTTCTGCGGCGAACAGAACATTGAGGGCACCCACAAATGTCAGTCGTGCTTCAAATGGCTGATTGCTTGGTCGGATGGAAGAATTGCGACGGAGGTATGCCGGATGGAAATCTCGGCCAAGAAAACCAACAAGGTATTTTCTCTGGACAAAATCGACTTTGAAAAGCAGCCTCGAGCTCAGCGAGTCTCCGACCGCACCCGAGCAGATCAACGTCGAGCTGGACGAAGCAATTTCGGAAATCTCAAGGACGCTGCTCAGACACATGCGGGAAGATACACGAAGCTCGGCTTCAAGTCGATCCAGGACCGCATGGAGAAGGACCCATTTTATTTGTTCAACAATGCGGTCGGCCAGATCACTCCCGACTGTTGCCAATTTTTGGAGGACTTGGCAAAATGCATTGCCCCTGATGTCGGCCGTACCCTAGAGAAGCGAGAAAAGCAGCTGGGAACAGGTGTCAGCACTCGTTTGATTTTCATGCCAGACTTCAACAGAGACATCCGACTCCCGTTGGACGTTACAAAGGAAGCCATGGTTGCGCACATCATGCACGAGTTTTTACACTCCCACAATTTGCTGTTCTTGCTGCGGACTTGCTGAAAGCGAGGGGGGAACCCACGCCGATGTTGTTTGGTTGGTCTGGCTCAATGATGCCTGTGGATCAAGGGTCAGCCCAAGATTGTTTCTTTGACCTCGTCGATTTCGCGAAGAGGCAGTGGAAGGAACAATACAACAACATCAAAGGCGAAGAACACTCCTTCGTGGATGAAGCCACTGCCTCAGATGTGGCTGAATTTCCATTGGCAAGATCCTCCAAGACGGGTACTGGCGAAGGGCGAGAAGGATACTGGCGTCATTTTGACCCGATTCAGAAGCCAGCCAAGGGCAAAGGCAAGGGCTATGGTCAACAACAGCGACCAATCTTTCAGCAGGCCATTGAGTGCTGGAAGTGCGGTCAGTATGGCCACAAATCCTTTGAGTGCCGCAGTGGATGGAGCCGAGGGCAACAGTGGGGTTCGTATGGATCTTACACAAGCCGCTCGGGAGGGCAGGCCCAATGGCAAAGCTGGAATTGGAATCAGGGCTACTCTGGCAGAGGTTGGACTGCTGATCCTTGGGGAAGATCTGCAGCATCAAGCTCCTCAGCAGCTCCTCCGGAGCCAGTGCGGCCACCTTCAACAGCGACTCCTGTGCCTGACACAACTCCTGCTGCTGGCGACCCTGCCCAAGCAGCCTCTGGATCAGCTCCTGCAGCAGAGCCTCCACAGCAAGTGCCGAGGATGCCGCTCGTGATTGCTGAGGAGTACTGCGAGATCAACGGCCAGCCGCACTTCAAGCGCACCTACAATGATGGAACGGTAGAGTTTGAGTCGTGGTAGATGTTTCACATCTTGTGCCATGATTTTATGCCTACCGGAAGGTTTGGCCGATTGGATGAAAGCTGACCTATGGTCATTCATTTCAATCGAAGTGCACACATCTTCAAAACATGAAATTCCAACTTGATTAACTTGAAAAACTTTTCCCAATTGCTTCAAGAGAAATTGACACCAGCATCCGATCCTTTGTGGTAGTTTGCGTGTATATAGCCGTGTACATAGGCCTGATACAGTAGCTTTCAAGTTTCCAAGGCAATGAAAGGAGTGGTAATGCTCCTATGCCTTGGCGGAAGCCAGGCCGATGTCGCTTCTGCTATTTCCAAGCACATGCAATGCCCAGGATCTTCAAAACATCCGATTATGCCTTTTGCCTCATGCACCCGTTGAGTTGAGACCGATTTCTTTTGGCGATATAATTCTGCAGTGATGTCCATGTAGCTCCGTTGCTCTCAGGTCACTTCTGGCGACCGAGCTAGGCCTTCCGTCCTCTGTTAAAACTACGGGGCGGCGGGGGGTGTTTTTCATTGGTCTCACTGCTTATACTCGTCATGTATGGCTCAAGAAAACAAGCGTATATTGCTGGGGCTTTTGGGCTGTTTAATCTGTCAAACAAATTCAAGTCTGATTCTCACAAATGGATCATTGCGAACCATACTTGGCTGGTATAAGTTGGTATAACTATTATAAGTCAAGGAATTCAAAAAAGAACTAACTAGTACCCATAGAATCCATGTATGGTATATATGCTAACATTGGGGGTATATTGATGGTAAATGTTACCATATATAGCATACATGGATCCTATGGGGTATATTATATATGTTAATTAGTATCAACCAAAACCCCAGGGACGGCTTTTGAATGCTTCTGAGTTCAGTCTGCCGCTGTTTCGCCAGCCTGGCGTTCACGCGTTCACTCGATCTCCGGTCTTGAGACTGGAGCGCCTTGGAACTGTAGGCAGGTGAAGTGAATCAATTGGTGAAATGGAAGCAGGTGACCCAGAGATGGTTTCCAACCAAAATTTGGTTTCAACCAATCAGTTAAGGTAAAAGTAGGTAAAACTCAACTAGTTGGTAAGTTCAACAAAGCCCAAACAACTTCTTTTTCGTCTGGGTGAGTAACCAGGCATCGCTGCTACATCTGGCAACTGTCAGAATGGCTATGCTCCAACCGACTAGCCAAGCGTATCATCTCGACCAACCCTCCTCTCAAGCTGACATGGACATGTAAGCGGCCAGGCCACATTTTTCTATAACTTGGTCAGGTTTCCATCTCATTTTCTGGGGGCAAGAGGAATAGCAAAGATATCATGAGGCAGCCAATATCTTTGGATATCTGCAGTTCTGTGCAACACATCCGGCCAAGTTTGGTGGTCAACTGCCCATGCTTGAGAACAATGCTTGGTTGCTTTAATGGATCCCCATGGGAATGGGATGGCACATGCATACAAAGGCCCTAATCTTGACACATGTTTTTCAAAAACGAATATTTACTGGTTGTTCATATGAAATTTTGGCACTACCATTCACTACCAGTTAAACATACAAATGCGTTTGAACCCACTTACCATTCACTCGGTCTCATATTCATTATGGATGGCAACCCAAACTTCACCCCTTTTACTAACCTACCACTCATGGACTTTGATATATGGCTTACAGATGTTAATGGGTCATCATTTTTTTCACCACACCCCTTGGCAATGTCATGCTCAAGCATTTTCCCAGGGCAACCCTCTATCGGAAACATCATAAGGACTTGGTGCAGCTCATTGTAGCTGATTATATCCCGTTTATTATATTCGATCATATCTCATGATATCTCACTATATCTCATGAAAATTCTCCATTATATTGCATTCACATTCTATACCCAAAGATGTTCCATCAATTTCTCTGGTATGTATATATATATATTATATTATCCCCAAATGGATGGTTTATAATGGAGAATCCCGTGAACATAGATGATTTAGGGCTACCTCCTTTTTTTGGGGAAACCTCCATATACCCAGTGACTTCGTGCTGCCCCAGTTTCTGCGTCCTCCATAGGCCACGCGTAACGCCAGCAAGGCCAACATCAGCAACGCCGCCGCCGCCGGCAGCGCCAGGTGGAAGATCCTGGCTGCGGAGGCGGTGGCGAGACGCTCCGCGGCGTCAGAGACGTCCACGGCGTCGTCCAAGCGTTGCAGGGAGAGGCCCGGACATTTCCTTGGGGAAACGGCTTGGGATGGGAAAATATGAGGAAAATATGGGAAAAATGCTGGGATTTTAGGGAAAAGATTGGGATTTATGGTTTCTGATGGGTTTTACTAGATGGATATCCCAAGGTTATTGTTGTTTATTCTGTGGGCTTACTAATTGTTCATGGTTTATAATGGATTTATTATGGGAAAACAAGGTTCTTTACTATAGCTGTAAAACATTGAGACAAGAGAGGTTCATAAGATTTTCTGGACATCTATAGTTAGTGCATTTTTCGAAGGCATCCCCTTAAAACAGCATGTGCACCAGTAATTGATTATGTGCAACCCTGCTGCAACCCCATAAGTCTGAGTTCCCCAAGACGACTACGCACTGGCAACCTGATATGGATGTTGTGAACTTGGGAAACCACCATGGAGATTAGGGGAAATCCTAAGTTTGACTGTACAGTCATAAGCTGATGCATATACCCTCTGGTAAACTAACATAACTAACATAACTATTGAAAATGGCAATTTATAGTGGATTTACCAATTAAAAATGTGATTTTCCACAGTTACGTTAGTTTTCCAGAGGGTACGCTATGTAGTTGTTGGTCATGACAAACATGCTGGTGTAGGCATGATGCTGGATGATTGAACATCAAAGTGTATGTCCAACTTTAGAGGTGGGCTAAAAGCAGTTTATTCCCTCCCTTCTATTAATTAAGTTGTCTCATGTGAATGGAAACCTCATGCATCGCAGGCAACTACCGTATTTGACGCTGAGTTTAGCCAACCTAGTCTTACCTACCCACAGCTAGGCGGGGATTTCTTCCACAAACCCAATGATGTCTGTCTTCTCTCCACTGCAGCTTTAGCTGGCAATAAAGGCTAAACATCGGCAAAATAACTCATTGTACCATATTGACATATTGTACCACCCAGCACTATCCAGTTTTTCCGGGCAAAACTCCCATCCATCACATATACCCTCCTGTAATTTAACATTTGGCAACCAACATTTTACGGATCATTGAACTAATTGGGGCATGGCTTCCAGTTCACAAACTGCTTGGTCATTACCAACAGGTAATCCCATGATATCCCATTATATTCCAATGATATTCCCATCATATCCTCATTCCACTAAATGGGCCTTGGCTTCCAAAATATTCCTATAGTTTCCTATTCTACTCCCACTATTTGCCCATTGTACCCAGGCGTTTTGATTTGCAGAGGCTCTGCTGCAAGCACTTCTTGGCCGGCTGCAAATTAACACCGCCATCTACGTAGCCTGATAGGTCTGGAGTGGTCATAGCACGGCCACAAAATAAGGATCAAACATGATCAAACTGATAGTGGTTTCAGCCATGAACGATAGCATTGTTCATTGATGTTAATTGCTTATCATGGGGGGGTTGTCCTTTCGAATTTCTTCGGGATTATGATCAGCCAATAAAACCCAACAGGAAAGGATACCTCTTAAGCAACCCGTAGCAATCCGTTTGTTTAATGGGGATACTTTTTCACGGTCATCTTGATGTTCTCCGAAATCAAATGAGGATAGGATAGGAACTGATGGGATGTCAATCGCAGCCTCGATCCAAAACGAACCATCCAACGCCCCTCCTGGAAAACAACACCCAAGTGCATCACACACACAAACAGGCATCTGTATATATATATATATACACACATAGGTATGCTTACTGGTGCTTAGCAGGGAATGGATGGGACTGGGGGAATGGGATGATTATTACTAGTGATTGTGGATCATTCCCTCATTCCCTGCTAAGCACCAGTAAATATGTAGATATGCTCCATTTACCTACAATGACCACCAAAAAAGGCTACTGGTCTATATCATTCTATCCAAACCAAGGTATGGATTGATTTGGTCATGCCTACCGTTTTTCATGCCCATTGGTGTTTATCCGCCAATCCTGGCTACATGGCCATATAAATCCCTGTGAAACTGGATTGACCATGGCACATATTATAAATCCATAGAAAACCGCTTTAAATCCACATCAATTTTTTGTAAATCCCCATGAATCCCAAACAAATCACCATAAATTCATATAAAATCCGCAAAATCCCTGATTAAACCACTAGAAAAGTGATTCTTCTCCAGAAAATCCAAGTGACTCTTCTCTACATATGCCACGTCCGTGGCGTCGCACCGCAGATGCACGTTCTCGCACCCCACCGTGGCGATCAAGCGTGCTGTGGCCCACATGCCTTGGGGAAAGGGGCAGAAAAGATGTGGAAAACCTACGGTTTCCCTAGGCAAAACATAGGGAAATGATGGAATTATGATCTAACAATTCGAGGTTTCCTTCAGTTTTCATTGATTTTCCATCTTTCTGTTAGTTACTGTTAGTTTTACAGGAGGGTACCCTGTGATTTGGCTTGGGTATTGCCCAAAAAAAGGGCAGTTTTAGTAGTTTTTCAGACAACCCTATTTACCATGGCTTCTCATAGGCATGCCCTATGAATGTGGCAATTGGGGCATCCTCCAAGTTTGAATCATTTTTGGGGTTGGGATGTCATGATTTGCACAGAAATGGTTGGATAGATAAGCAGCAGTCCTACATCATAGAGTAGGGAGCACCAGCTGATGGTTTCGGGGGGTAGTTGGCATGGTCTTATTCTTTTCTGCGCCTCTCTTAAATAATTGTCTGATGAATTCCCAGACAGCTCAGAAAATGGAAACACACCATGTTCAAAACAGTTCAGCTTCTATTGCTGGCAAATCCCATAGCCAACTGCCTGCAGAACTACACCCCCTCCCCTGGCGGCCCAAGATGCAAATGCACCAGCTGTCGCCGTGGTTTTCACGAATCTCTGAATCCCACTGGAAGGCCTGATGCCAGAGCAAGGCATGGCGGAGAAGCATGGCACAGGGTAGCATCCAACTTCCAAATTTAGCACGTCATTGATTAGTGTTCCATGTTGATTTAGAATTTCGGTGAAACACATATGCAAACAAATTGATGATATTGATGGATTTGATGAATCAGATCGAACAGCTCTAAGAGGCCTACATGACCTTCGTCTCAGTATCTTGTGGTGTGCTGAACTTATTAGTGCCCTGGCCATGTTACAATCAACCCATCTCTTAGGGTTCGATCCTTTTTGGACCCACCTTGCACAATGGTCACAATCTCAAGGGACAAGACTAAGCACTCCAAACTGTGGAAATGGACCACCAGTGGGAGTTACCTATTAGCTACACCCATTGGCACCTCTTGCCCGGTGATTTGCCAAAAGTTGCCCTTGGCCTCAGCAAAAGTGGCCAAATATTTGCTACAGAGGTGTGGGATCAAAGGAGTCAACCAACTTAGTACCACCACTAGCAATCAAAAACATCAATTTGTGATGGTGACAGTATCTATATATATATATATAGTCATATAATGTAATATGCAGGTAGTTACCACTACAGGTACCATCATGTGCCATTGGAACATTTGGGCTTGTGTCAAACACAGGGTTTGCCCAGTGGCTCCCCAATCAAGTGGTTGTCCCTCACCATCCAGCAGCTGTGCGCAGACTCGGTGCGTTGGGTCGTGGTTGCACTTGAAGTCCTGCGACGCGATGATCCCCAAAGGGGGGTCGGGCCTCTGCAGAATTCCTATTTGGCACCAAATGTGGTGCAAAATTGGATCCTTCAACAGACTAAATAGGGTGGCATCGTTGGTTGTTTCGTAAGCTATGAATTCCCGCTATATAACTAGTTTCTGCTGCTGTTTCTTTTCATGTAATTCCACAGGGAATCACGTTGATTTCTGGTCAAACTGGTCAGCCATCAGCAGCCATCAGCATCCCCTCCAAGCCCATGGCCCCAGCCTCGTAGCGGGCCCCTTCGCCTGGGCACACGGCCTGCTCGCCACGGGCCAAGCCCAACATCAGCAGTGCCAGCTTCATGGGAAGAGAGGATGGACGAGGCTGGAACCCCGGGGAGACAACTTTGAGCCTGGTGCTGTTTTGACCTGATCTGAAGGACATTTTACTTTCATGAATAGTTTGGTTTATCAGTGTGCTTCACTTAGAGCCCTAAAACGGGTGAGATAGCTATTTTGGACCCCATGGTGCACCAATACGGGAGATGGTGTGACAGCTAGTACCATTGGGAACAACTCATCGATGGCAATCCTTGAGAATTGTGACACACCATGAAATCCTCAGACAGGCCCTGCTCGCCAAGGGGAGTTCCTACTGTCATGACTAGTCATTCCTGATGCTTTGACACATAACCCGTCACACTGTGGTTGAATTGATTCAGGTCCTCCAACATATGATTCTCATCTTGAAAGGGCAGGTGGCATCCGAGTACATCCCAATGATACATATACAATATTATACAATTATTTGCTCTTGCCGCGTTTATCTCTATCATCCAACCAGCCCCAACAGTCCCTCGAAATGGCCTAGGCTTCATCAGTTTCACTGTTGTTGTAAGGCCTGGCCAGGGATGTTGGTGCATCAACCACTGAGTACTTTCTGGTGGCTTAAGATTTGGTCGTGGAATGATCAATGTGGTCGAATAGACCGAATAGATGTTTCACCATTATTTCCAAAAACTAAGCATGCACGTACTGGATCTTTTTTTGGTACCAATCTGGATCATGATTCGAATTCCATAGTATTTTTTTGAAACGCTGGTGAGAGCTCAGGGAGAAAACATCTCTGAAACGATTGGGCCAAGTTCGGTGCAACCAAACCCAATGTGCTAAATAGCTCTGACCTCCCAGCAGCCAATATGAATAACACATCACAAGTAGCTGTGCACTGGGTAATGGGCATCACTGCTGGGACACTGGAAGTAAAAGGCAATCAAATTCTTATTGACCATCTGACCCCAAGCTTGTTTCACATTGATGAAATGATAAAGACAAATAAAGAAAGCACAATGTGAAGCAGCAGCACTTTGCTCTCAAGGAATGCAAACAAACCTACAAAGAATCTAAGTCTCTCTTTCTATCTCATGCATCTTTCCAACTCTATTTCTCCATCATTCATCACCGGTAGACAAAAGCCGACATTCTACCACTGAGATCGGTCGCCACCGATAGCTTGTAGCTGTGGGATGCTTTCATGCTAAATGAACTACATTGAACTAATTACCCAACTGCCTGAGCAAAGAACAGTAGCACGATCATAGTGTTACCTGCCCTGCCTGAAACCATAGTCTCATGAACAAAAACGCTGCAGATTTCAACTCCCTCTACTTTTTAATGGGTCTGGATGCAGGTGTACGCTTTGGTTCGGGGGGCGGGCGCCACAACAACACTCACTTAAATTTGGAGGCATAATCACAAGGGCCTCACAAAGGCTCCTTCGCCTAGTGAGTTACGGATGTCTTTGCGTAACAAGTGGCACTTGGACACAAGTTTCTGAAACACATGTGCTTCTTGCAAATCTTGAATCTTATCCCGCAGCAGTTCCTTATTTTGTGGGCAGGACGTCCTGCACAATCGAACTTGCAAAGCCTGTATCTTGTTGGCACGTTCTATGCCTCCTTCGTCGAGACGACTGTATCGCGCTTGCCATCCGTTAAGGCCAAAGATTGCCTCCCTTACATGTCTAGAGTTGTCATGGTTGATGGACAAAGCAAGTTCAGCTTGTACCTTCTTCACGAGCAAGCCGCCATGCAACAAACACTCCAAGGTCTGAATCGATGTGGCTTGGCGACCACAAAAAAGCTGGGAGATTTTCTTTCGCTCATACAGGTGCCAGCTTTCAAGCCCTTTTTGATGCAAGAAACTCAGCAGCTGCTTCAGCACAAACGGGTTGACTTGCTCGAGTTGCAGTCGGATTCTACCAAATGCATTGACAGTTATTGAACCCTCCGCATCAAAAAAACCTGCAACATATGCCCACGTGCATTTTAACCTCTTTGGACAGTACTCATTCCGCTTCATCTGCGCCAGTCGTTCTAAAAACTCTGCATGCCGTGTCTTTGCAATCGTTCTGGCTGCGATGAGAAGTTGGGCCTGTTTCATTGATGGCACTTGTCCCATCAATGCTGCTGCATGTCGCATGTTGGGACCAGTAACACGCCAACACAAGCAAGCTTTTTGCGTACCAGTCCGTTGGCGTTCAACGCCAATTCCGCCACCAAGGCACGCCCGGAAATGCAGAAGTACCTTCATGGAGTCCACGTTCTGAGTGATCCTCAGTGTAATTTGCCCAGTTTGCGTCTTCATTGTCACACATCCGTCCCCATCAAAGAATCCGACCAAATATTCAAGCCCCTCCTGAGTTGGTTGTTCTTTGGGCGGACCCACCGTTTTCAACGGAAGTTTGTAGGTCTCATCCTCAACCGTGATGGACTTCATGGGGGGAAAGGTGATTCTCTGCTGAAGGCGTGTGAGCCTAGCACAGCGTCTCTGCCATTTGGTCAAGTCAGCAGTGGCGGCAAAACATCGCTGCCAGGAGAAAACATGAAATCTAAAAGAGGCACTAGTAAACCGGCTGAAATGACACAGCATTGAGCCAAACTCATGTGCCAAACAATGGCAAACTGATCCGACATGCCCAGCTAAGATCTTTGTGAGCACCTCCTTTAATGGAGTCGCAACCCAAGGCAAAACAACACTTCCAGTCAAAAAAAACAATTTCCCTCCACAAGATGTCTAGCTGGCACCACCCCATCCAACAGTCTCACCATGGACGCCCATGGCAGCGCCTAGTCTTGGCTGTCAACTCCATGACTCAGACCTGCATCATGAGAGCGTGGTTGAATACGTCTTGTTGCTGGACCGAATGGCCCGGCTCCTATATTGAAATGTGCGGCAAATAAATTGGCACCAGATGCACCACATTGTGTAGGGCCACATGGCCGTGAGCAATGTGCCCGATTACGAGCATGCAAAAAGAGAGAAGTACAAAGTAGGGACTGCACATAGATTTTTCCATCTTTACAACACCACAGTTGTCCCTTCGGCCCCCTGCAGCCATGTGAATCACAGTTTCCAAGTCCCTTCGTGCAGGATATTATTTTCACCTTCATCCACACCGCAGCACCAAAGGCTATCCAGTCATCCGTCATCACATGTTCAGTCACGGGCACGTATGAAATGGATCGAAATGGCATGTTGTGTCGCAGGAAAGCTCAGAGTTATCACTGTGTGTTTCTCCAACGATAGACTTCCCAAGAGCAATTGTCTGGTAGCACCACCCAACACCAAAGCTGGAGGGTCCATCAGCAGCATCTGAGTCCAGGTTGCCGTACCACGGCCCTCTTCATCACTTTATCTGCTTTCAGGTCAGCGGCTGCACCAACCAGCCCCTCACCAGCGATCATCTGAGCGGTCCAGGTTCTTGTCAGGCTGTAGCAATGGCCCATTGAGGAACTCACCTGCGCCCTGCACTTTGCGAAATAAAACATCTGGAAATCATCGACCAAGTTGTTGCATGAGAGGAGGCAAATCAGTAGAAAGACTGTGCCCAATCTTTCTGCTTCAGCTGCTCGTAGATGGAGACAGGCTTGGAGGGGGTGGCTTCCTGTCAGGAGCAACATCAAGCGAATGGGTTCAGGGAGAGGATTGTGCCAGTATTTCTAGATTCCATACATCCACAATCCCGACATGGGATAAAGTAGCTCATTCCGACTCATTCCCTTTCCCTCTCCTTCATGAACCCAGTCAATATAATTCTCAGGTGTTCTCATGCATGAAAAAATCAGCTATCATACGAGTAGCTATCAATTTCTACTAAAACGATAAAAACATCAAACCCCACAACCTGCCAAATCACCCACCTCTCTACCTGCTGGTGGCTTCAGTGGCCAGCAGTTTGCAAGACCCCTCTCCACTGGCCTGCCTTGGTCGTGTGGTTCCCCTGTGGCGCATCGCCGTTGGGCTCCTTTGGAGGCACGGCTGCAGCGGGTTTCACCACCTGGGCAGTGGTCAATTCAATGCTTCATGGGCGGGCGGGCATTGGGCAAAGGCTCGAAGTATCTCATAAAAACCTTATGATTTATATGGTGATTTATATAATTTTATATAATTTTATATAGGTCCTCTATCATGATGTTTTTCCATGCTGATTTCAAAGCATGATGATTTCAAAGCATAGACTGGTGTGGTTGACCTCCTGCCATGATTTCTTCATGACTTTCCTGGCGTCTTTGATTTCCGCCCTCTTGCCGCATATTTCATAGGCTGGAAAAGGGTTGGAAACCAAAAGCTTTACGATTCATTTTCCTCTGATTGATGTGCAACCAAGATTGAACCACTGCACTTGGATCGTCATGTTTTCCCTTCGTTAGTTTTCTGAGTCTTCCAACCTGTTATGACATCCTAACTCGTATCAAGCCGACCCAGCTCACCTCATGGTAGCCATTCAAAACTTCTGGTGGATGATCTGCACCAACACCATTCAGCTCGGCCTCAGGGGGGGCGATTTGAAAGAGGGACAAATAAGGCAGCAACTACTCACCCAATGCCTTTGCCAGTGTCCAGGGCGTGTATATAACCATCTCAAAATATCTCCACAATATTACTTTCAATTTCAGATCTTTGAATCTGGCCATTTGCACATATTTGCACACCCCATTCTCAGTCAAATCTAGCCAATTATTGATTTTTACACCTCTATAATCTCAAGTGCCTTTCTTGCAAAGAGATTCTCACCGGGCGACGCCACAACAGGTGTGACCCTCCACACCGTCCCAAACACCGCCCCGCCTTCGGCTCCGGCGGCCGCCGGAACTGCGTCCGCCGCGGTGGCGGCGGCGGTGCCTGGGCAGGTGAGTGCTGAAAGATTGATGGCAAATATACTATAATATACTAAATGATAGATGTGAAATGATGTAAATGGTATGATCACTGATGTATAGTTTCAATTTCAGTATCAAATTCCTAATTCATATCATTAAGATAAACGGGATAATCCACGGTCCTAGCTTGCTGTCACAGTCTGTGTGTCATCTCACTTCCCGGCATAAATTAAACCATGCAATCAAAAGGCAACTCAGAGAAGTGGCAGGCCCTAAACTTTAAGATCAACAGGGTCAAATCAGTAAGGCAACATGTTAGAGACGAAGCACCTTTGATCTATTCTTCCATTCTACAATATTCTACACCTCTAAGGGAATTGCTCCCAACAGCCCAGGGTTCCCGATGGTAAACCACGACAGTCCCACCTGTGGTGCAGCTGTTCGCTGCCCCCGGCCCCGATTGTCCAGAATTTCCTGCAAGTGGAGTGCCATCGCATGGCACACCCGGTGACGTATCCAACATGGGAACCCTGTTGAGATGGGCTGAGGAAAGGGATTTTCCTGTTGGAGATACGTACAGATTTATCAACAATGATTCGCGAAAAGGGACATGAATCATCATACCCATCAATTAAAACAATATTCTTATTGTGGTCGCTAGATATTTCAATATGAACAATATGAACATACTAGGTTTCTATCATCTTTTATCATGTTTTTATCAACTAATCCCATTTTGTGGTTGCATCACCAGCAGCTCCTGTGGCAACGGAGATGGCAAATCGCTGGGCTGCCGCGGGGGTACGGGCAACGGCTGGTCGATGTCGCCGGAACAATCCTGCGGCGATCGGAGATCCATGGCTCGATGGATGGTGGCTCCGGGTAAGGGGAAAATCCTACAGGAAACCATTGTTTTTTCTGCCGGAGTATATATATATATAAATATTGGAGATTCCGGCAAATTATTATCCATTATTGTCCATTACAGATCATACACTGGTTGGTGGTATACCTACCCCTCTGAAAAATATGAGCTCGTCAGTTGGGATGATTATTCCCAATATATGGAAAAATAAAACATGTTCCAAACCACCACCGGTAAATATTGGAGATTCCGGCAAACTGGTCTTTACATCTACTCTGGGAAGGTCTTTTTCGAGATGTCCCAGCTGTTATGTTACCTTTCTTGGTGGTCAGGACCCATTTGTTCAAGTGAGGGGTAGGACAACACTCCGTATAGTGCATCATTATTCTGGTGAACTAACTTTGTTGCTTGTCAAACAAGATGTGATAAGATGTGTTTCAAGCCTGCCATGTTTCTTCGGCAACAGGCCATCTGGGAATGGAGATGATAAGCCTGGTGAAATGATGACAAAACAAATGACAAACCCAAAGGCTGGATCTTCCAGTGCCGGTATCCTGAAAGGTAATCATATTTTTTTTGCACGTGCTTTTCCGCTAATGACTTTCCAGGTCTGTCTGGTGATGTTCCACGTCCACATCAGTGCATGGTAAGGTACCCTGCATCTCCCCGCATCTCTCTGAGCCTCGCAAATCTCCGAAACTTTGCGGATGCTGAAGGATATTCGCAGCGCTACTGAGGGGAAGGTCTTCTGAAATTGGCGCAGCGCGCCCATGCCTGAAAACTCTGATGCTCAGGGACAAAGCCAAACCATTTGGTCTTTTCTCATGCCGCATCTCTCAAATGATGATCTTCAAAGGACTCCAAACAGTAATCGAATTCTGATATTCTCTCATACTCCCTGCATCAATTCTTTTGACAGGGTCCTCCTAACCTATGCCCTTAATTACCCTGGTCCGAAAAACATGAACTCTGACATGTCAGCCCGAGGCGCAGGATAAGCACGGAATTTCGCTCACATCCAGCCGCAGAGTTCCCTTCACCGATGGCCCCAGTTTCAGGAGATGGTCCTCGGACACCATGGTGGATGACGCGCTGCCACTTCCAACAGACTTCCGGGGTTTCAAGGCTCATTCCCAACAGGACCCGGGACTCTTCGTATGGTTCGGCCTTTCAAACACCAAAGCAGGAAATCACAACGTTGGTTGGGACAGCTGTCACTCATCAGGTTTAAGCTCCTTGACTGGATTGTTGGGCCCAAATTGTTAAATTGCTGATAGTATTCCTAAACATTTGGTGGTTCAATAATGTTCAGTCCGATTCAATCCCCTCTCCCCAGTTCTTCTATAATGCATATAATGCATATCATTGCATATCATATCATATGATATCATAGCACCTCATACGGGTTTGTCTTAAAATATCATGGTGTCCCCAATATTCACATGGATTATCATCATTTTCCTTATCAAAATTGCCATTTGAACATAATCCCCACATTTTCAAACACACCCAATGTAGAATCACCACCTTTGACCGGTGGTCCATTTGTACCCCCCACGTCCCCCCCATGGGGCGAAGCTTCGGCCGCCTTGTTCAGCACCTGGAACTCCGCATCGTTGGACCGAGAGTGCTCCACCACGCAGGCCACGAAACGGATGGGTTCCTCCATGGGCATTCCGCTGGCCACCACCTGGGGCTCCACCAATGGGGTGCCGTCGGAGAAGGTCAACTGCCAGGTACCTGGGGAGAAGGTTGGGGTGGTTGGCTCGGCTGCAGGGATACCTTGAGTTTGGGATCCGAAAGAGTCTACAATCTTGACAAGCAGCATGAGGCTGGTCAGTGACTGTCAATGAAATAAAACGCATTGGCATTCTTGACGACCAGAATTAACATGATAATCCGCTCAAACGCTTAAGCCCAGGGTGATGACACCTGTTGCGGCAAGGGCACACGTCGTCTTGTGCTTCATGGTAGCATCTGTGGGGTCTTGTTCATATGCCTCAGCTTTTGGTCGTCACGAGGCCTTGTGCTAAGATTACCACAGCAAAAAGCAATGGGCAACGGCTGAATGGTTCAGTGCACCCTAGACCTTCGGACGCGACTTTGTTTCTTCCACCTGTTCCAGCCATTTGCTTAAAACCACATGTTAAAGTACAGCTTGCAACTTTTCAAGATAAATCCTTTTGATAAAGAACTGAAAGAGCAATGAGGACCATCATGGCCATTTACCCATCATGATGCCTTCATCATCAGGCCCCATCAAACCAGCCCCTGATCCCCAGCGAGTTGCTGTCCGGATGTTGTGCAGCAGCCACTCTTCACGCATGCGTCGGAGAGGCAAAAAGATCTGGGGATCATCTTCGATGATGCCAAACCTCTTCAGCATCCTCAGCAGTGCTGTGATGCAAACGTAACTGCTGATTCTGAGCCTGCTGCTCATTCTTAAGACGTTCAAACTAGAACAAGAAAGGGATGGAAAGGGATAGAAATCACAACGCAGTCATATTCAATCAATGTTTCTTTCTCTGTACCTAACCACGTGAATTTTCCCTGGACCGCACTTCACCGAGGCACTCACAGGTCATCCGGCGACCCAGTTGGATGGTTTTGAAACCAGTGACCTCAGCGCTGGCGCGCTGGTGAATGAAATGAGTTCCTTTCTCTCCAATATTCAACACCACCCAGAAACCAGTTATCTGGGTAGGTGGATTTATCCATATTTTAGACCATATAGATCCATATAGTATATATATATATACGTAGCTAAATGCTGTGTTTAATATGACTGTAAGGGGATATGTGACTATTGAAGACTGTGGGGCATCAACACTGGAGGCGAAATCCAGAGCTTTCAGATCAGCTAAGTCATGGCAAGTGCACTTGAGATAGGCATGCGGCATGGAGAATCATCCAATACCACCCCTTGGTATATGATTCACCTACTAATACGTTCAAGATTCTCCACTCAATCACGTTTACTATTTATTTTTTATTAATTAAATCACTGTGAAACCATCGTTTTTTTTTGCCCATTCAATCCAGTGTTCTCGATGTGAAAATATGTGAAACATTGTGAAACCATAGGTTTTTCTGCCCAGAAGTTTCAACTTTCTTCACATTTTTCCATCATTTTTCCCCAAGGACAACCCCTCCCTGGGCTGTCCCAGACCATCCCAAACCCCAACCGAGGCGCTCGAGACTGGTAGGTGTCCGCCTCGGCTGGGCTGCAGCCCAGCGCGGGGACGTTGTGCCAATCTTCCAGGAAGACCAGGACGTCTTGGTACGGCTCCCTGCGGTGGTTACACCACCCGAAAAGGATAGAAAAATGATTGAACAGTAAATCGCCATTTTTACTGTGATTGTTTAGTAGGATTGGGATAAAGGTGATAAAGGATAAACTACTGTTACTAGTAAGGAGAATATACAATTTATAGTTTATGGCCATTTTTTGTAGGATTGTAAATTCTACTTTTTTCCTATCTTTTTTGGGTGTGACTAGATGTGCTGCTCACGTTTTTGCAGGCCATCCTGCGAAAATGCCAGGCAAATCAAGCAACTCGAAAACGTACTGATGCAGCAAGAGATGGCTTGACGGAATCCAACGCCGGCCGAAAGAGCTTACCCTCTGGTTATTTAACAGTTCGCCATGGAAGCCATGGCCCATAGAAATAGATGGTTTACCTATTAATAGCATGGTGATTTTCCATGGCAAAGTGTTAGTCATAACCAGATGGTTACCATCTAACCCTGCTCCAAGCCTCCGGTCAGGGTCCCATGGGTCCCCTGGGTCCCATCATGTCCCGGCCTGCCAATGGCATCGCAGCGGTCAAAGAGAGAGTCTGAGACATGCTGGCGCCACCTGGGCTGAACGACTCAGCTAAAAAAGGACCATCTGCTTCGATGGCATCCTAGTGATCCTGTTGTTTTTTTCAACATCAAATTCCAATAGGGTTTTTGAAATTGGATGAAGTTGGGTATGCCATGGTCATGGTATGCCCATTTTTTGCATCATTTGTTAAAAGGACCCCTTTCCCTAATTGATGGTTGGTTACTGGGATGGCTTGTTATTGGGTGTGCTGTTTTCATGGTGGCACCAAGCTCGGGAATTCTCAGCCCCGGGAACTGAACCAACTTTTGAGCCCCGATCCGATCTCATCCGGATCTGATCCAACCATTGTGGCCCTCTCAGCCTGCACCAATCAACTTTTGGCATACCCTCTGGTAATGACTAACATAGCTATTGAACATGGCACATAGAAATAGTTGATATACCTATTAAACATGATTATTTTCCATAGCTATGTTAGTTTACCGGGGGGTATTTCCCCTTAACCTTCACTGGTTTCTTGTGAGGTTGTTCGATTTTTCCGCAGTGACCCATTCGCCATCCCAGTGGCTCACTGCACACAGCATCCGACAGCAGCACAGCGTCCCCAGGCTCCTCAAAAAGCTCGTCGCGACGCGAAAGCGTCTCCTGGCGTCGATCCCGCAACCGTTGGGCTGTTATACATCGACTATCAGCCATGCAACCACCATCAGTTACACGATCAGCCTTCCAGTAATTCAAAAAACAGCCAAAAAAAACATATATAGGTAACCATATAACCACATATAACCACATATAACCACATATATATATATCTATCACATATATATCCTGAAATCATTACAAATTTAGATCTTTTCCACCCAGCTTTTTGTTTGGGCATCTCCCCATCCTGCGCGATGCCCCGCGCCAAGCCGCCCGGCACGGGAAGGCCGAAGCGCACGAAGGCCCAGGCCACGTTGCAGAGCCCGGTGACGGTGAACTCGGGCACCAAACTCTCGGCCTTGCTACGGTAGGTGGGGGTGGGGATGGGGGGATGGTTTGGAGTTGATATGGAGTTGATCTTTTTGTTGGATGCTGGTGATGTCTGATGTTTGATGTTTGATGTTTGATGATGATGATGATGATGATGACGATGATATTTGATGTTTTGTCATATGAATAGATCTATAGAATTCTCTATGGAGTTGTCTGAACTTGTTACCATCTGGTTATGACTAACAGTTTGCCATGGAAAGATCCACCATGCTATTAAGTTCGGTAAACCATCTATTTCTATGGGTCATCACCATGGCTACGTTGCTGGTCTTGGCACCTTCTCCATGAGCATCTCGAAGAGTCGATCGTCCCGGTGCGATAAAGTGACCTGGAACTCGTCCATGCTACGCCATATGAAATCATAAGAAATGCCATATTTCTGAAGCATAAAAACATGCAATGGTTGGAAACCGCTTTTTGTAGATCATCCATTATTATCCATTATTATTGTCCATTACAGATCATTATAGATCATACACTGGTTGGTTGTTGAGCCCTACCCCTCTGAAAAATGATGGAGTTCGTCAGTTGGGATGATGATTATTCCGAATATATATTAATATGAAAAAATAAAAAATGTTCCGAACCACCAACCAGTACATCACCCATTATGAAGACACATAACTAAATAACCACCAACATGGTAGATCGGTGTCTTGATGTGTCTGAAGTCTTTTCGCCTGGTTTGTGCGGAAAAAAACTGCAAACCTCATGACCTATCAGGGTTTGACATCTTACAATCACCAAACGGCCAAATTCGATTTGCTTCATGGCGTTGGTTTTGCCACCCCCCAATCTACGGCAACCACTTTATACATCATCTCAACATCCCACTATTCATTATCCACACTACTTATATACCTATTATAATCAGATAACTCATCATAACTCTATATGCATACAGATCATAAAACACAGAACTAATTAATAATTCTACATACATGTGCATTTGCATATATTATACTTAATAATATATAATATAAAGTTTTGTTCTATGGCTTACCACATCCCAATCTACCGAGCAGCCATGGCCCAGGAGACATTCGCCACATCTCTGGACGCGAAGCTTTGCATCTTGGCGCGCACCGCACGGCGGAGCTTTCGCAGGGCATCCTGTGGCGGAGAATGTCTCCAAGTCCAAGGGTTACTAAAATGGTTACTCTTCATCACTATAAAGTAAAATGATTGTAAAATGTATAGTATAAAAAAATATGAAATGGCCATGGTTGAGGTATACCCCAGTTTCAGAGATACACATCTGAGAAATCCACCATGTATAAAGCATTTCTGAACAGGAAGCAAACCACGGAGTTCAATGGCATTTTGTAAACGCTGTCAACGGCATGTTGTTATGTTGATGACAGCTATTCAGAACCATCATTACTCATTATCACCATCATCATCCATCATCTATATTATCTAATCATGACCATATTCTATCATCATCACTGATCACCCATCATTTCTCATTACCATCATCTAATTTATCATTACCATCACATCATCATCCATCAATCATAGGACCTCTTTATGCCACCGGCTGCACCTCATGCATCCAAGCGAGCACCGCAAAACTGTAGAGCAACCTTTGCCGTTAAGTGGCCAGGTGTCATGGAACATGGGACCTGAAGAATAGCAACATATTACGCAACTGGTTGGTGATTGAAAAAAAAACACTGAACAATATGAAAGTCAGTTGGGATCACTATTCCCAATATACTAAAAATAGAAGATGTTCCAAACCACCAACCAGGCAACATGTTAAATGGGCAATGTCTAAGACTTGGTCTGGGGATGTCTGGGCTCAGGTCGGATTAATAGATAGACCTCTTAAATGGCAGATATCTGATGATATCTGCAGGTGGGATACTCAGAATGGCCCCTGGTGGTTCTGGAACTCCGATTTCCCAAAATACCACTCCCATTTTCATCACCCACAACATCCCACCCAAAAAATCTAATCCACTTTCTCGAATCTCTAATTATCCAGTGCTTCCAATGCTGAACAATTTCTTGAATTTTCAGTTAAGTTCTTAAGCCCCTTCGAGGCACGTGGAGATATCGGGTGGCGTCAGCTGCTCCATGGGTCGACGGATCACCTCTTCACTGATGCAGGTCAAGGCCTTCCTCGGCATGGCGTGTTATGAAAAGGGGATGGTCATCTGGTCATGGGATATGACCTACAAAAATGATGAAACAATATGTTTGAACATGATGAAATGGAAGATGGTGAGCACTGATGAAGAATTATGAAGAATATTGAGGAATGATCCAAAAGGATCCAAAAAGTGGATTGAAGTTGAAGGAGCGCCAAAAAATATCTGGAACTCAGGAGGAAAAACATGTTTTTTTTGATATGTTTTGAGCAAACTCCATAGATGGGGATAAATGGCGATAGGATCGTTTGGAGCCTGGGCGAAGCTTCGGACATGTCTATTTCGACCAACGAGAACTGGAAAGCGAACAAACCAAGAATGATATAGAGGATGATAGCTGCGAAAAATGATAGCAGCAAAAGTGGATGTCACATCGATATCTTTATATTTGGTCATTCAGAAGGCACCTGTTCGAAACTCTGCATCAGTTGATCGACATGAAAGCACGATTCAGGCCGAACCCCTCACCAGCATAGGGACATATCTCGATACTCAACGGCGGAGAGGCCCCAAATCACGTTTGACAAGCCTGGCTGGGAATCTGACATCTTGACCCCTGAGACCTGAAAAAGGGATCCTTTTTCAATGCATATCTTGGGTTTACCCTGCTTCAACTAGAGCTCTATTGGGAAATTCTATGGCAGAACTCCTGGATGAACGGCAGGAAACCTCGACAACTTTCATTAGAATTTTGCTTAACCTGGAATGCAGGGCTCCAGCCCTCCAGCGCCCAACATTCACTCCTTGTGGTGAGAACCACTCGATCTGACGCATTACTTCCCAGTTGATGGCGCGCATGTGCTCGTTGCGCTTGTGCTTCAAGGTGCCATAGGCCCATAGGGTGTTCGAGAGATCCTTGGTCTTGGCCAATGAGACAACTTTGTTTTCTGGCCCATGGTTGCCTTTGCAATCAGGAATTCAAAAGTTTGAACCTCCGTACATCATCAATACCTTCAAACCTCCTTCACCAATCAACTGGCCGGCACCAACAGTAGCCCCAGCCCAGCTCCACGCTTCAAAGACACTTGTGGAACGCAGTCTCGTGAGCGTTTCATCATCTCCGCCCCACTGGCCTCCATCCAATCCTCCAGGGACCGAGGAGGCAGCTACTCATGTATGTGACAGGTAGCTGGTTCTGGGCCAGGTTTCCTTGAATGATAATTGTAAACCGGGAAGCTTCAACTTACTGCTGTAGTCTCTGAAAGTTATTGGATGTTATTGGATCAACAAAAACAGCTTCCACCACACATCCAACAACCATCAACCACAAGATCCCAGGGCCAAACCCCAGCAGTGGCCTCACATAAGATGCCGAGGGTGGCCAATCCCCAGGTGAGGTTAGACAATTCCTGGCACCGCGCTCAGGGATCATCCTCTTGTGCTTTCAAAGAGCTTCCAAAAAACAATTGAAATCATGGATAAACGGATAAACAAGGTGATTGACACCCATATATTGACACCAGGAAACAATGCAGTCTACATCCATAACCATGCAATTCGTGAAAGGTTAACCTCAATCAAACGCGAATCATGCATCGGTATAAAACTTGGAAGCCCCAACGCAAAGGTTCAACGAACTTTTTGGATAATGGGAGTCCCCAACTCCAAGACAAACCCAGATACCCTTCAAACCACGTCAAAATCAAGGCCTGCGGTCCTTCAAAATGCCCAGAAAATCGTTATGTCCTTTTGTAGTGGGTGTTCCATTGCCATGTTTCATTGCCAGAAGATGCCAGAAGGCAAACTATAACATAAATGTGGAAAACCCAAGGTTTCCGCATGAAAAGAATCTACAAATAGGGGGGTTTCATGGGTTTTCCACATCTATGTTAGTTTGTTGAGGGGGCACCAGAAGGGACAGAATCCGACAGAGAAAACCACATGATCCTGCGTCCCGAACTCCGCCACGCGCAAGGCTGCGCTGCTGGCCACGGTGCGCATGGCTGCCTCGGCGCATGGTGACCGTGGGAAGATCAGTCGGAACGCCATGGGGACATTACATGATATAATATAACAAACAAATCTGGCACGGCTTTGACCAGAACTTTGGGGGGTGTACCTCGATGTATGGCGACTTTAAGTGTATAATGATCCACCGTAAGAGTTTCAGGCTAGCCTATTTTCAAACGAAGCCATTTGCGGATGACCATGGAAGACATCCTTTTCCCCTGGTGCCTCGTCTTTGTACATCACAGTCGCACAGGCCCAGACCAAGTTGGACATGTTCTGTGGCCTCGATGGAAGAGATGATGGGTCCCCCTGCGACTCTTGAGTTTTTGTGTCAAGAATTGCCAACACCTGTTCAACTCGTGATTTACGTTCCAACATGTTCCAAACCCCCAAAAAGATTGAGGGACCTGACATTTCGGCACTTTTGGTAAGCTTTTGGTGTGGTCTATTCCAATTGGTTGGAAAAGTCTACCCCATGAGAGAAAACCACTCGAATCCGCCAAGCCGCTGAAAGCGAGGGAGTTGGATCAATGACTCCTCTGAGTTCTGGCAGCTTCATCTGACTATGGAAGTCAATAATTGCTGGTCCCAGCACCAAAGAAAAAACTAGTTGCAGTAAATCATCCATTTTTTTTGTCAACTCCTTCATGTATGGTCAAAACCATCTTCGAAAACCAGCAACTGCGTTGGCCTTTCGACCCTGCGAAAATTATTTATGGATTTGGGGGCCCGCCCGGCCTCCAAATCTGTTCTTGTGGCTCAATTGCTTTGACCCAGACTTGTGATTCTCTGTCTTCTTTTTTTTGGGGCCACATCATTAAGAAGCCACAGATAGACAGCAGTGCCTAGATCTTGAGATGTGAAGCATTGGGTCTTTTGGAGTGCTTCCATGTCGTGATTCAACGGTGTCACAATTGAGGATCCTACTGCCCATGCAGTTGTCATTGGCGGTCCTGTAGCCACTTGGTTTGCGCAGGAATGCGTGGATAGGGTTGCGCCGGTAGGTAATGGTAGGTATTCCAAGCAGTGTGTGTTCCACCCGGCTATGCGAAGGGTATTCAGAAGAAGTTGTTTTTTGATGATAGAACCTGGCACATGACATTCTGCCGCATGTGCCCGACCGTATGCCCACGATTTCGTGGGTTTTGGCGCAGCTTTGGCCAAGGATTCGTTGCTGCCATCACGGCCTGCCAACCCTAGCAGGCAACTTCTGCAGATGGCGCATGTGCGTGCTGCTTGGCACGAATTCAACAGCCTATGGGAAGACAATAATTGGCCCAGGGATATAAAGTGCCAACTGCACTGTCGAGGGGCTATGTGCTTTATATTTTTTTTTTCGGATTTTTCTTTCTAAATTTCACGGAGTTCTGTGGATGTTGTGGTGTATACATGCAGTTGTGCTTTGGGTTGTACACAGCAAAGACCCAATGCCAGCCCTTATGCTAATTGTAGATGGCTTTGACATCCATACCTTCCTGAGTCAGAAACATTGTATCGTTTGCTGCTTTTACAGGCCCTCCTCATGCATTGATTGACATAGAATTTCTATGGAACATCTGGTAGCCGGGTAGCCCAAATCTTGAGGCAGCCAACAGTGTAGCCGCATTGGTCATAACACGGTTTCATTTTGCAGTGGGTCTTTGCCTCCCCCTTCGGCGCAACCATCCACAAACAGACCAACACATACTTTGTAACATTTTCACCTGTAGCAGAATACACACCTTTCATTTTCCGGCTGGCCTACCGAAAATGTAATAAGCAGCGGTGCATGAACAGTATCCAGCAGTCAGAGACTCCATGTTCAAGGCAGTGTGCATTGAAGGAGAATATCTTTACAATTCACATTAGGGTGAATCCTTTCATTTTGTCTTGCGCATTTGCCTTGGCAACCTTGAAAGCGTAGGCACTCAGACGCCTCATTTGCCTAGCTTGTTGAGAGGGCAGGAATCTTACCCCCAGGTTGCTTGCAATCATGGATAATTCGCCCAAGCTTTGTTGAAACAAGCTTTCTTAGGCACAGACAGATGGCAGTGCCTAGATCACATGTTTGGGAGGAAATAAAGATATTTCACCCAAGTTTTTGTTGAAACAAGCGTTCTTAGGCACAGACAGACGGCAGTGCCTAGATCACATGTTTGGAGGGTGATTATGGATACTTCACCCAAGTTTGGTTGAAACAAGCTTTCTTAGGCACAGACAGACGGCAGTGCTTAGATCACATGTTTGGGGGGTATTCATGGATATTTCACCCGAGTTTTGTTGAAACAAGCTTTCTTGGGCACAGGCAGACGGCAGTGCCTAGATCACATGTTTTGGGGGGTAATCATGGATAATTCCCCAGAGTTTTGTTGAAACAAGCTTTCTTAGGCACAGACAGACGGCAGTGCCTAGATCACATGTTTGGGGGGTAATCATGGATAATTCCTCAAGTCTTGTTGAAACAAGCTTTCTTAGGCACAGGCAGACAGCAGTGCCTAGATCACATGTTTGGAGGGTAAACATGGGTAATTCCCCCAAGTCTTGTTGAAACAAGCATTCTTAGGCACAGGCAGACGGCAGTGCCTAGATCACATGTTTGGGCGGTACTCATGGATATTTCATCCAAGTTTTGTTGAGACAAGCTGTCTTTGGCACAGACAGACGGCGGCGCCTAGATCACATGTTTGGGGGGTAATCATGGATACTGGGTAGTTGACCTTTTGTTTCTCCTCGCACGGAAAGTCGTCCCACACACGGTGTCCCGTGCAGAAGTAGGTCAACAACCCTCGTCCCTCAGAGTAAGGCTTTGGCAAGGAAGAAAGCATTCCAACACAAATCGTATTGGCGCACGCGTTTCTAGACTCTGTAAAGTGCAGTGCCCCCTTGTTTCCCTGATCACCTTGTACAGCTGCGATTTGTTACAGAAGGGCATTTCCAGCTGAACTCATGCGGCATCTATCCGCGCTGTGTACCAGTAAACAGAACGATAGGATGAAACAAAGGATGGCCAATCGCAACAACGCTGACGAAGCACCGTTGCGAGCTCCTGCTGATGCTGTGGGAGAGAACTCAGCAAGGAGCTGTTTGCACAGTACACGTGATACTTGTGATGAATTGTGATGGTAAAGCTTTTCTTTTCAGGTAGAAAGATCATTGTTTTACAGCAGTAGGCGCAGTAGCAGTTGAGAAGGCTCAGCAGCCCAGCCCCCCAGGCAGGATCCCACGAATTATTGGTTTTGCTTGTTGAGGCTTACTACCTGGTCCCTTGCGTGGGTTTGAACCTCTTTTGGTCTCGTTTGGGCCTCCAGGGGTCTCGTTTTTGGTTTCGTTTTTTTCTCCTTTCAATTCCCCGAATCGAAATATGGTCAATATGGTTTGAAGAAGCCAGGCTGTTTTTGGTGAGGACCGGTGTGCCAGTATGATTTGCACGCTTTGAGATGTTTCTTGAAACATGCTGCCAGCCTACCAGTAGGAATAGCGTGGAAATGTACATCAGCTCTGAAACCTAAAAATCGGTGTGCCAAGTGCGAGAGTAGTTCAGATTTCATTTTTTGAGGCTTTGGGATGGCTTGGGATAAGCAAAACGCACTGGCACACGATGATGCCAGATCTCCGGCAAGTAATGTTCAATTTTGGTGGGGGCCGGTGTGCCAGTATGATTTGCATGCCGTGGGGTGACTTATTGGAAGCCTGGGGTGACTCTTGGATGACTGTGTGCCATGCGGGGGGGGTGACTTAATGTTAGGGGGGGTACGAAAGGTCACGCTCGTACTTCCCCCAAGTTTTGTCGAAAGACATTTTCTTAGGCACAGACAGACGGCAGTGCCTAGAGCACACGTTTTGGTGGTATTCATGGATAATTCCCCCAAGTTTTGTTGTCACGAGCTTTCTTCGGCACAGACAGACAGCAGTGCCTAGATCTTGAGATGCGAAGCATTGGGTATTTTGGAGTGTCTGCATGCTGTGATCAACTGGGACGAAAAGTACAGAGATGGATAGATGGATGGATAAATATATGAATTAGAAAATGGCTAGATAGATGGGTAGAAGGATAGATAGGAAGATAAATAGGTAGGTAGGTAGATACAGTAGATGTCGTTGACGAATCGACCCAGGCATATTTGCACCATCAAGCCATTGCTTTCTGAGGACTTTGGCGGCGCACGCATCGTGGCCACAAATGATGCGGCTACGGAGACGGAGCTCCGCTGGTCCTGGTGCAAATTGACACATTTCCCAGATTGATGAAGAATGCCATAGTTAGTCACCAAAGGCGACTAACACCAACGTTTGTAGTCTGCAACGCCATAGAGGGATACCAGGAGATTTGGACCTTTTTTCACAATAGGTTGCCCTGAACAGCAAAATGGCCCTTGAACCATCTATAGTGCTGGCAAACTAGGGAGGCACGTCTACAAGCCATGGCCAGCGGCCAGTTCGGATTTTTGACATGGCGAAGATAAGAAAGACATGCCACTGCCATTCTAGCTTCAACCACACCAATTGCCGTCATTTGCACGCCTCTTCAGTCATTTTCACTATTGTGGAACGTCAGACAGACTTTGTTTCCTCTTTCTTGGAAGCAAGAGTTGACAGACAGCAGCAAAGACACAGCCCATCAATAGGCCAGCTTTGGTGGCATCGATCTGGGCGAGTCTTTGACTATTGAGACATCACAGCAGGAGATCCGTTGCCATTCTGTCGCAGGGTCTCTGGTGCGGACATGGGCATTGTACTCGCCATGGTTCTGGTGACTCTTTGGTTTTCAGGTTATATCGAAATCATCATTTGGAGGAGATTGCATGTGCTGAAGCAATCCTTAAGACAAAGTCAAGATTCTTTTAATGCAGTGTTACTTTGTGGTAGCAGCAAAGGCCGGAATGTGCATGTACCTGCGTAGGTTTCGATACATGGACCACAGTGAAGTCTCATTCTGGCCTGCACTGATGCGCTCTTTATTCGTGTTTCTACCCCTAAAGCACCAGGGGGATCTCCCATGCGGGTTTGCCTGGCGCGAGGGTCTAAGTGAAAGTTTTTTTCCAGTTCTCAAGGCCCTGTTACCGCACTCTCTCTTGCAGCCATGGCCATGGTGTCTTTGGGCTTGGTGGCACTGCCTGAAGAACATTTCGAGAAAAACGTTAGCAATCCGGGCAAGGCCGGCCGATGTTGATTATGTTGATTGTTTTTTGGCTTGGCGTTTTCTTTTTCTGCAGCTGGCAGGAGATAAAAAACAATAGTCAAAATGAATATCATTGGGGATCATGTCAAAGAAGTCCTGCAAACAGGGTTGGAACCCTGCCAGGTGGCACCAGCAAAGGCCCTTTTGACCCATCAAACTCCAGTTGCAGCCATCAAGCATGCATTGCGCCAATCAGCACGGGCTTTGGGGACATCAGTGAGTGACCCCGAACATATCCGCAAGAAGCTTCCACCCACAGAGGATTGCAAAGCGCTCATGGCTGCCGGCCGCATCTGGGTGATTTTCAAGCTGGAGATCCCAGAGGCCGAGTTCCATCTCGATTTGAAGTCTGGATATGTGAAGAAGCAAGCCGGAAGCGGCTTTGAGATTCAGACCTGGGACCCTCTCAGCCCGAAGTGGCATGCGTCCACTGCATCCAGGACCAAACTCTATGTTTCTGTGTGAGTGAAAAGGTCCTCACCAGCTTTGTGCTCGCCAGGATGCCCGAGGCTCCAGCTTGGTCATTCTATGTTGGAATCAGTGCCGACACGGCAGCTAGGATCCTTGCGGACCCGACTGAGGCCCGTGGCTACATCTTGGAATCCTTCCAACACCGGGACATGGGGAACTTGGTGCGCAAGTGCCTGGCATCAGAATCAATCGCTTATTTGGCCTGTTGTAGGCACCAGGAAAGATATAATTACTCAATCACCAAACAGTTTATTTCTGCTAGGCCTGCGGCCTGCTAGGCATGTTTCACCATGACAGGCAAGCTGGGCATAAAGTTGCTCACATTTTGGCCGGCGTTTACGCCATTCCGTTCTTTGAAGACAAGTACGGCTGCGCCTTGCTCCAGTCAATTTTGGACGAGAAGAAGGCGGAGGAGAAGAGCCACATCCTGACGATCAAGGTATCGTGCTTGGATGTTGCAGCAACGCTGCAGCATGTCCCCGGCATGTCCTCCGTGTGGGTTCCACGCGATATGGACAATCTATACAAGTGTCCTCTCCGTGTGTCTTTGGCGACATTTGCCTTGGCTGATCATTGCGTTCAAGAAGCCCAGCCTGCCAGCCTATATCGCGAGAAGAAGCAAAGCGTTGAATTGTATGACTCGCGCAAGAGGTGCAGGGTACGCTGCCCAAGAATACTTGTTTTTATTGTCTGGGCTCACGCGAAGCAGCTGTGGCTTGAATGTTCTTTTTGTATCGGATGCCAGATATTGTGCTTTATTCCCCACCTGCCAGGTGAGGGTTGTTAGATTTTATCAGAGTTGTTCTTCTTCTCCTCCTCCTCCTTCTCCTCCTCCTCCTTCTTCTCCTCCTCGTTCTCCTCCACCACCTCTGCCTCCACTTCCATGTTCACTTCCGCAAGGGTCTGAGCGCACTGGGCACCGCCTGGGACCTTCCGAGCTCAGTGAGCACCACTGGACCTCAACCTGGGACCCTCCGAGCTCAGTGAGCACCGCTGGACCTCAACCTGGGACCCTCCGAGCTCAGTGAGCACCACTGGACCTCAACCTGGGACCCTCCGAGCTCAGTGAGCACCGCTGGACCTCAACGGCCAGATAGAATGCCAGAAGATATGCCAGATAGAACGCCAGATAGAACGCCACATAGAGAGCCAGATAGAATGTCAGAAAGAATGCCGGAAGATATAGCAAATAAAGTGCCAGAATGTTTGCCAGATAGAATGCCAGAAGATATGCCAGATAGAATGCCAGAAGGTATGCCAGAATGTCAGATACAATGCCAGAAGGTATGCCAGATAAAGTGCCAGAATGTTTGCCAGATAGAACGCCAGAAGATTTGCCAGATAGAATGTCAGAAGATATGCCAGAAGATATGCCAGATAGAGTGCCAGAAGGTATGCCAGAACATATGCCAGGTAGAATGCCAGAAGATATGCCAGATAGAATGCCAGAAGATATGCCAGATAAAATGCCACAAGGTATGCCAGATAGAATGCCAGAAGGTATGCCAGATAGAATGTCAGATAGAATGCCAGAAGGTATGCCAGATAAAGTGCCAGAATGTTTGCCAGAACATATGCCAGAAGATTTGCCAGATAGAATGCCAGATAAAATGTCAGAAGATATGCCAGAAGATATGCCAGATAGAGTGCCAGAAGATATGCCAGAACATATTGCAGAAGATATGCCAGGTAGAATGCCAGAAGATATGCCAGGTAGAATGCCAGAAGATATGCCAGAAACAAAAAAAACAGAAGATATGTCAGATAGAATGCCAGAAGATTTGCCAGTAACAAAACGTGTAGATGTCATGGTGGGGATAACTCGAAGTAAAGTAATTTTCTCCTACTCTCAAGTCTTTGCTATTAGAAGCATGGCTTGTATCAAAATGAGCACTGTCACGACCGTCATGAGCCAGCTGCCATTGCCAGGTTTGGATGTCTCCATGATTTTCCATCGCAGGCCCGGTGGGGTATGTGAGCACAACTTATGTGAGCACAAGCACAAGTTCCGCTCACTTACTATCAGATCATGTGGATTGCCCCATGGTATTCAATGATACGAACCTCTGAGATATTACGGTCAGTGTCGCACACGCAACCCCGAGGGTAATCTTGAGAAGCATTGCCTTGTGTTTTTTACCTGCCCTTTATGCTACAAAGGGGCATGGTAAGAGATCACAAAATTTGCTCGCGAATACGGCCGCTGCCGCATGCGAGATCAGACCCGTATTGCATTCAGCAGCCGCCTCTAGTCAGCATGTCCTCGACCTCGAAGGCTCCTGCCACCAAACGGCCTGCAGAAGCTGAAATCGAGTGTGGCAGTGCAGCCAAGAAGTTGACGACAGCAGAAGCTGCGAAGTTTGCGGCAGAAACCGTCAAGGCTTTGAAGCCTCGTGACCAGCAGCCTCCGGAGAACATCGTGCCAGTGAGCAAAGTGGTTGCAGCATCACCGCAGACAGCTGGCATGCCACCGGGGCTGCAAGCCCCTAAACTTCCAGATCTAGAAGAAGGGCGTCACTTGGGCGCTTGGACTATCATGAAGCGTGTCATTCCTTGGGCCACTTGGCAGCATATGTTTGCTGGAGCCACTCCTAAATTCAGAATGATGCCATTTAATTGCTGTCGGTTTTGATTAACCAAGCTAGATTTAATTGAACTCCTCTGATCTCCTCTGCCATGTTCTGTGGTTTGCCATCCTGAGTTTCGAGCATTAGCCCCTGCAAGATCTTCTAGATTTCTTTCAGAGAGCTTCCCCCTGCGCCACTTGTGATTCTCTGAGGTGCTTCAATCCTTGCCGACTTTCCTTTCGAAAGCTGCCTTGCCATCAGCTGCATCTTTGGCAGACCTAGCACCGCTGGAGATCCAATCATCACAGTCCCAGGGCCTCAAGAACTTCAAGGAGAAGTGGAGCCCGGCAAATTGCCTGCAGGCTATCCAACATAGTGGCCTCTACGAAGCCGGCCGTTCGCTGTACTGGCTGGACCCGGGCTTGAGCTCCAACGACACATTGCTGCTTGAAGAGCCGCCCTATGCAGAAGTCCTTGAGGCCGAGCAGATTCTTTGCTGCAGCCATGGGGCCGGAGATCGCTTCTTCTTTCCTGGCGCTTTTGGGTGCTTTGCTCCCAAGCATGTGTTGAACACGGGTGAGCTACCAACCAAGCTGTCTCTTCTGCACAAGCACACGCAGCTCTATGCCTGGTACGTTGCTATGTGCAGGGCATGCCTGGACACGGATTTGGAGCAGATCAAGAAGCTTCATGAGATGGCCTTGACTGTCACTGTCAGGGCATTGGCCACGACCGATAGCATCAGCGTGACCCTGGAGATCCTCACGGTCAACGACAAGTCTCGACAGGGAAGCAATTCGGACACCTTTTTGATGTTCGCAAAGAAGGTCCAATGCATTGAGCGCCAGCAGGCCGCAACAACCAAGAAGGATCTTCTCCAGAGCTTGATTTCCAAGAATGTGCGCTTCAACGGCACCAAGATCAACAAGACTGTTCTTGATGGGGCCTTGAAGGTGGCAGGCATGCTGAGCGATGCATCTTCTGAGATCCTGTCTCGCATCCAGCGAGAACATGGCCGAGATGTTTTCTCCAACAATTATTCCAAATTGGCCCGCTTGTGCACGCGATGTCAGAAGCAAGTGGCTACTTTGGAGAATGTTGGTGCTGGAGGCGGCGCTGAAACATTGCTTGAGTTCACCTTGGGGGCAGCCTATGTGGCAGTGGCCCGCAACCAATGCAGCCCGGACTTCTTCAACGTGGAAACCATAGACCCGCGCGGTGACGAGGTGGGCTGGGCTTGCGGGACCTTTGCTAAGATTGCAGTTGCGCACCAGATGGTTCAGCTCGCTGAAGCTGCTTGGCAACAAGCCCCCGTGGGAAGCTTGAAAGACGAAGCCAGAAAGACTTCAGACGCTTTGAAGAAGCTCGGCACACCTTTGGCTTTCCATTACGCTGTGCCCAAAGAGGTGGATGCTGGCTGCAGCAACGCAGCAGAAGATGTGCTTGAGGAAAGGGATCCACTTTGTGGGGTGACAGACGGGCTGGATGCAAGTGGTGTGAAGGCAGTGGAGTTTATGATTTCGTGGAAGCCGCCAAGGTGTCCAACCCATGTTCCCACCTCTTGAAGCCGGATGTGACCACCAAGCTGGCGAAGAGCATGCGCTCATGCACCGCTGCCGGATCCTCAAGTCCAAAATACTGATTCAATTTTTCATACAAGACGCCAGAACTGGCGAGACATCATGGAATCTTATAGTTCTGAAACCACGTTACTACAAACACATGCAACAGGAGCCATTCCACCAGAGTTGTTTCTTGCTTTTGCAGCCCCTTCCAAATCACTCAACATCCTCAGCATTTAAATGCGCAGCCCCTTTTGAAGTTTATTCAGCATCTTCAGCGGCTGAGGCCCTTGCAATTTCCCATGTTTCGTGCGAAGCCACGTCAGCACCGCCTGTCAGCTTGAGGGATCTTGTGAAAGGGGATGACGAGCAAGAGGATGAGCAGAAGACTGCAAGGGAAGCAGAGCGAAGCCACTTGTGGCGGGAGGCGCAGACGCTTGGGAAGAAGTACGTGCAGTTGGGCCTCTGGCAAGGCCGCACAATGGATTCGCTGGCTACTTTGTTTGCAAAGAGCCCGGCCAAAAATTTTGAAGGAGTTCTGAACGACAGCCACCAAGCCTTCGTCTTTTCCAGTGACTTGTAGCTCGAGCCTGACCAATGGTCAAAGGTGCCTGCCTTGGACAGAGCATCGTTGCAGCCAGCCTTTGACTTCATGAAAGCACAGTGCAAGGAGACCTCGATGCTCTTTTTCTTTCATGGTGGGCCGCGCTCGAACCGCCAATTGATCGAGCAGACGTTTGGCGACAAGGTCCCGGGCGGCGGCGGGCTGTTTGATTGGATTGTGCTCTACCGGCTCTACCGCTCCACAAAGAGTGCGCCAGGGAAGAGGAATCGAAAGGTGTTTGCTGGCTCTGTCCGTTGTGAAACGGCCTTCCTCCGACTATCAGTCCCACGGGTGAGGTTGGCTGTGAAAGCCCGGGAGGATGACTTCACGTCGAATGAGGAGTGCAACACCAATGATTTGCACATGGTCAACGTTCCCCCGCCCGGAAAGTTGCCTCGCATTCTCCGGTCTGACAAGACCCGTATCTTCCCCGATGCCACTGTCCACAACACGGTGAAGTCCTCCTCTGTGCCGCTGCTTCTTGTCAAGATTTCAAGCCGGGATTTGTTTGATGACGGCTTGGGCATAGAATCTTGGTAGACAATTTGTCTGATGTCAACTGACCCCCGCTAAAGCAACTTAGTTCGCATCCCACTTAAGAGGCATCCATGTCAAATTCAGGATATGCCTTGTGCAGGGGAGATGATGGGACAAAGGTAAGACGATGTCAGAATGATCTTTCAGAGACAGTTTCAGAATATGGCAGAATATATGGCCGAAGACATGTTGGGATATGTGTCTGAATATATACCAGAAGGGGCGCCATGAAAAATTAAAAAGTCTAAGGACCTGAAAATGGCAACTTGCTGGGTGGGGGACCATTGGGAAGCACCCGTGGGACTGATAGTCGGAGGAAAGCTTTCTCGCAGCTAATGGAAGCTAATGGATGGCGTTACCAAGCACGGTGATTTGGTTTATATATCAAAGAAGCCGTTTTAGGCACAGACAGGCGGCAGTGCCTAGATCACAGCATGTTTTGATGATATGGATCATTCGCCCAAGTTGAAACCAAACAAGCCGTCTTAGGCACAGACAAACGGCAGTGCCTAGAACACGTGTTTTGATGATATGAGTCATTGGCCCAAGTTGATATCAAACAAGCCGTCTTAGGCACAGACAAACGGCAGTGCCTAGAACAAATGTTTTGATGATATGAATCATTGGCCCAAGTTGACATCAAACAAGCCGTCTTAGGCACAAACAAACGGGCAGTGCCTAGGTCACATTTTTTTTAAGTAACCCAAGTTGAGATCATCGAAGGAAGTTTAGAAGTCAAACTTCCGACAATATGGACAGATGAAAAGCAGAGCAGGGCAGAGGCAGAGAGAAGAGAAAGAGAAGAGAGAAGAGTAGAAGAGAAAGAGTAAGAAGAAAAAAGATGGAGATGCGCGAAAAGGTAGGAAAGTCGCGATTCACTGTGTTTTTCCAATGATTTGTGGCTCCGGAGGGTCGAAAAGTAGGCTCGCTAAAGCGGCGGGTGCGGAGCCAGCTGGCCAGAAGACTCCCAAAAGCCAATGCCCTGTTGCGCCAGGTGCAGGAGTCCAAGGGGAACGAATTTTGGGAAGCCGTGTTGCAGATGCTGGACGTGAAGAACGTGTGCGATCTAAGCCCAGGCAGTGGAACCCTTGCATCCACTTGCCTTCGGATGCAGATTCCTTACCTTGGAATCTTGCGGAGCGATGCCCACCACAGCTACTGGGGGAACGTTTTGGACCGACAGTGCCTTCAGTACCTGTCAGACTCCAACTCCATCCTCTACAATGAAAGCCTGTCAGAGCTCATTCAGGAACATTTTGCTGAGACGCTCACCGAGCTCAATGAGCCCGACGTTGATGATGCTTCCGACCATTCTGATGGGTGAGGCAACAAGCGCATAGCCCGGTGATTTTGCGATTTTTGCATAGTAGGTTGTCCTTCTCGCTGTTTTGCAGCTTGCGCGACATGGATGGGATGCCCGTGTAAACGTCCGTATTTTTCCACCCCATGCTAGGGATAACAGGACATCTTGACATTTTTGCAGGGCAGGTTATCCTTAAGGGCAAATGGAACCTGAACCATCCACAGTGCTTGCAAACCCAGCACTTTGGCAATAGAAGCTTGGCGTGGGACCTAGAAGCATGGCAAGTGACCAGTTCGGATTGCGGACATCGCATAGATGGAAAAGACGTGCCGCTGTGATCCCGTATGCACCCATTGGCAAATGACCAATCAGTGATCCGTGGTGGTTTACCGGCATTTTCAGTCAAGGTCACCATATTCGAAAGTAAAATAGATCTGGCCTTATTATTGTTTCTGTTGGGCCCAGAGTTGACAGACACCAGGGCAAAAGAAGACAGACAAAAGTCCAAGAACAGCCTGTCTTGCAGCCAGGCCAGCCCCTTTGCGCCAGAAGAAGGTGCATCTACTTCAGGGGATGCTGCCCACATGTTTGATTCAAGGTTTTCTTATGTGAACAAAGCAACGGGTGACCTACCTAGTTTTTTTTGGCATCAGTCTGCAGGATTGAAAGCCAGAGCATGCAACTATGTGTGTGCTACACATCTCGCGTTTGCCTTATTCCAAATTTTGCCTTACTCCAAGTTTCTCACCTGCGCCCCTACCCCTGTGCTGCGATAGGGTCGACTGGAATATGAAACAAGAGGAGTGTGAAAGCTGTTTTGCATGGCTCAAAGTTGGTTGCCGGGTACATTTGACAAGGAAACCCTGAATCCCAGTTGGGCTTTTTGATCTTCGTAGTAGAAACTGTTTGCAGTGAGATTCGTTACCATTGTTCCCCACCTGCCAGGTGAGGGTTGTTAGATTTTATCAGAGCTGTTCTTCCGCCTCCTCCTCCTTCTCCTCCTCCTCCTCCGCCTCCTCCTCTTCCTCCTCCACCCTCGACCATGTCTGTATCAACTTCCACGTCCACTTCCGCCTTGCCAACTCTTCGCCAATCTCTTCGCCAACTTCCACGCGCAGTGGGCACTGCTTGACCTCAACTGCCGGTTTCCGATCTGAGTGGGCACGGCTGGACCTCAACCGCAAGGTTCTGAGCGCAGTGGGCACCGCTGGACCTCAACCAGCAACCTTCCGAGCCCAGTGGGCACCGCTGGACCTCAACCTGGGACCTTCCGAGCTCAGTGGGCACCGCTGGACCTCAACGGCCAGATAGAATGCCAGAAGATGTGCCAGATAGAACACCAGATAGAATGTCAGATAGAATGCCAGAAGATATGCCAGATAAAATGCCAGAAGATATGCTAGATAGAATGCCAGAAGATATGCCAGAAGGTATGCCAGATAGAATGTCAGATAGAATGCCAGAAGGTATGCCAGATAAAGTGCCAGAATGTTTGCCAGATAGAACGCCAGAAAATTTGCCAGATAGAATGCCAGATAGAATGTCCAGAAGATATGCCAGATAGAGTGCCAGAAGATATGCCAGAACATATGCCGGAAGATATGCCAGGTAAAATGCCAAAAGATATGCCAGATAGAATGCCAGAAGGTATGCCAGATAGAATGCCGGATAATATGCCAGAAGATATGCCAGATAGAATGCCAGATAGAATGCCAAAAGATATGCCAGAACATATGCCAGAAGATTTGCCAGATAGAATGCCAGAAGATATGCCAAATAGAATGCCAGAAGATTTGCCAGTAACAAAATGTATAAATGTCATGGTGGGGATCACTCGAAGTAAAGTAATTTATATAACCTGTTGTTTCCATTGTGCATGGTGGAGATGCCGCAGTAGGCGCAGGACACAGATGAGGACGACGTAAGCAATTGGGATTTCGAAGCTGGTGTCAGGCACGATGATGACCTGCGCATTAGAGCTTTTTTGCTGTTTGAAATTTCCGTTGAATAAATCCGGAATTGCAGAACACACATTGTTCAGCATGTCAAATCTCTGTCAAGTTGCAAGATCTTTGCAACAGGAGCTGTTTGCTACACTACTTTGGATCCAACCTGCTAGAAGGACTCGATAGGAGTAGGCGCAGGATACAGATGAGGACGACACCACACGCGTCGGCGGGTAGTTTAGAAGATTAGATAGATAGATAGTTAGATAGATAGAGATAGATTTAATATACACATATGTTTACAGATATTTATTACATATTTTTCCCCCCGTTCCCACCGTTCTCTCCGTTCTGGTGCGGAGCGTTTGTTGGGTCCGCTTCCCTACCCTGCGTATTGCGTGATTGTATGCGTAGGTCACGCTGGCGACTTAGTCTACCGCTGTATTTAAAATAGAAGTTTCGTGCCAAGATATACACTTATAGACTTATAGAGATCCAGTTAATCAATGAATCTTTCCCATCATTACGCTCCGCGCCCACGGGCCAATTAAGAAAAATACCCAAAGAAACATAGAGAAAACATACCTTTTAAAAAACCTAAAGAAACATAGAGAAAACATCCCACAGAAAATCATTCTCTGCGGCTTCTTGAGCCGGAGACTTCCGAACGTCGCAAGTCAATCGACTGATGCAAATCTAAAAATTAAAAATTGTTCCAAAGGTCAAGTCAGATGGATGTTCATCCCCCTAAAAATGGTATGTATAGGTATTGATCCATAGCCATGTTTGAATTGGCATGTTTGGTCGGGCTGTCATGCTTTAGACGATAGAATGTCAGAGGTGTTCGGCAGAAGCGTGTGGCTGTGCTGCTCGCGTTGTGGATAGAACATGGCATGTTTAGATGGCATGCTTGACTTGCATGTGTTGTTGCCCTGTCACGTGCAGAGCTGAGAAGAGTTTAGAATTAGAAGAGTTGAGAAGAGCTGGTCAGAGGTGAGCGCAATTGAGAAGAGTTGAGAAGAATTGAGAAGGTTTTGTACGAGGTGTGAAAGAGATTCAGAAGACTTTGAGAAGAGGTGAGAAGAGCTTGTGAAGAGTTCAAAAGAGGTGAGAAGGAGATTGAGAAGATTATGGGAAGAGGTTGCGAAGAGTTGAGAAGAGGTTGAGAAAGGTTGAGACGAGCTCGAGAAGAGGTCTAGAAGAGCTGCGAAGAGTTGAGAACAGTTGAGAAGAGTTGAAAATGGGGGAGAAAACAGTTGAGAAGATTTGAGGCTTCATTCCAACTCCTATAGGCAGGGCTTTACTTGTAGAGCGAGAGATGTATACATACATACATACATACATACATACATACATACATACATACATACATACATACATTACATTACATTACATTACATTACATTACATTGCATTGCATTGCATTGCATTGCATTGCATTACATTACATTACATTACATACATACATACATACATATATGTATATATATATTATATATATTTATATACATTATGTCCATAAGTTTAATACGATTACTCATTTATATAGGGTTTTCAGCAAGAATAATGGGAAGTTCCACCATATTATGACATCGGACATCCAACAAAAATCACCGGGCATATGATCCATGGTGGTTTTCATGGTGGTTTTCACCGAGAATGGGAATCTCATGGCCCTGTGGCCCATCCACCCATAGTATACCTAGTATACCTCTCGTTTGGCATCCGGCTTTGTCTGAACATCGGATTTATCA